GTGTGGCCTCTATGCAAAACACAGAAAAGGAAGCTACAAATAAATGAAGTCCGAGTAAGAGAAAAGACGTCGGCCCTTTGAACACTGAGGAGGGGACCATATGCCAAGTTATCAGGGAAGTTTTGTGATAGTGAGGAAGGCAAAATTTTTTTCTTTTTTTAAAAAAATTATTTATTTATTTTTAGAGAGAGGGGAAGGGAAGAAGAAAGAGTGGGAGAGAAACATCATTGTGTGGTTGCCTCTCATGTGTCCCCCAATGGGCACCTGGCTTGCAACCCAGGCATGTGCCCTGACTGGGAATTGAACCAGCAACCCTTTGCTTCACAGGCCCATGCTCAATCCACTGAGCTATACCAGGCAGGGCTAGATGGCAAAAAATTTTAAATAGTGCAGATAATTGTGATAGGAAAAACAGGATATAAAATGTAGCTCTTGAAGAAGTTTTCAAATTATTCCTCCCTTCATTAAGTTTTTGCTCATCAAGACTATGATCAGATAAATTAAGGTAAAATATAAATGGCTAATAATCATGCAGAAAAGTATTTATTGTAACTAGTAGTTAAACATGCAAATAAAAATAAATTTCCACTGGTAAAATGATCAGAAATGTAAGAATGTATCATTCATTGTTGATGAACTTTCCTAGGAAGCAATGCAAAAATGTGTATCAATTATTCTTTAAAAGTTCACTGCCTTTGATTAACTGTTGCTCTTTCAGGAATCTCACAAACAAAGATATATGTACAACAATATTTATCACAACATATTTAGCAGAGATAAATTAGAAACTTTTGAATCATTTAAGTGATCTAATGCATTAATGTACTTTCATAAAACTGAGTAGATATTATCACTAACAATATTTCAAAATATTTTTAGAAAGATGCTTAATGATGCAGGATATAGTCATAAAATGGGAAGAGCAAGTACTTATACTGGAGTATGATGGCTCACTTAGTTAAAAAGGAAGAAAGTACTAGAAGGAACATCATATATTAAGAGCTTCCACCTGTATGGTAGGATGATTAGGTATTAAATATCTGTATGATTTAAATGATCTTCAACAAGCATTTATTGCCTCTTATAATTAAAAATATTATCATTTTTCTGCTAATCTCATAGACTGTGTCTTCCACCCAATCTTTTTATGAACTGACATTTCTGCCCTGCCGAAGTCCACCTACCAGGACTCAAAACTGTCACTACTGCCCACAGCACCAGCTCTCCTGGCTGGAAGTTCAACCCATAGGCCATTGCACATGGAGAAGATAGCAGGTCACACATATCCTGACACAAAGACAAGCCCTGAGAGTCGAGAGCATCACCAACATGTGCTATAATGAAACACGGCACAGGTTCCAAGTGTCTGCAGAGGCCGAAGCCTGTCCCCCAGGCCAGGGCCCTGTCCTGCACCAGCTCTTTCCTGCTGATTTAGACAGAATCCCTTTTCCATTCCGCCTCCCCTGTCATTCCTAGTGAAGAAGGATGCTTTGAAGACACACAGGACCTGCATGTAGTACATATCACAGTCACAACTGACTTGTATTCTCCCAAATCTACATGTTTGAACCCTTCAACTCTAATATGACTCTGTGTAGAGGTAGGGCTTTTAGAGAGATGGCTAAGGTTAAGTGAGGTCATAAGGGTAGAGCCCTAATCCAATAGGACTGGTGTCCTTATGAGAAGACACACCAGCAGTGTGTGCCAGAAGAAAGGCCACCTGAGGACACAGCAAGAAGGCAGCTGTCTGCAAGCTGAGGAGAGAGGCCTCAGGAGAGACCTAACCTGCCAACACCTTGATCTCAATGTTCTTGTCTCCAGAACTGTGAGGAAAAAATGTCTTTTGTTGAAGCCACCCCGTCTGGATTCTTTTGTTGTGGTGGCCCTAGAAGATTAATACAGGGGCTCTGTGGTCTGTAATCAGCCTCCCGTCCCCCTTTCAGAGGTGTTATTGGGAAAGATAAAATAATGTGTGTTCAATAAGGGGAATGTATCAGGATTAAAATAAACACCTTGGGTGGAACAGACCCAGGCTTACACAGGTTTCTCTAGGTCCTGATCAGAATTTCTTGACCTTTTTTGGGCTCAGGTTTATTAGCTGCAACATTAGAACCACTTCATATAACTTTGAACCCCATTGTAATGTCCGTGGCTTTGTATCTCTCCTTAGTGACCAACATGGCAGTCCCAACTTGCTTGGTGTCTTTAGCCAACCAGGAATGAGAGCAATGAGAAATATGGTTGCTTGTGAGAAGCCAAGAGGGCTACAGAGAAAAAAAAACCTGAGTGATTAAGAGACATAATTTTTAAAAACTCACAGAAGAAGGAAAACCACTAAAGAACCCATTCCCATTGTATCTAAGAAGATGGCTGTGAGCACTATGAAAACTTTCCACTTTCTTTACTTTGTGTTTGGGGCATCTGTTGTACTAATCCACTATGATCATATTAGCCATGATCTTTCATTGCAGATACTGTGGTCACATGATTCTTCTGATGACTCAAACAAAATACAGACTCAGTACCGTCTTGTACATAGTGTTGAACATCAGTGTGAATTCTGGCCTCTTCTTTTCCCCACACTCAGCTCTTTTTGTGGCTTTGCACAGTGTCCCCTCATGGCATTCTGCACATTTTGGACACATTCAAGGCTCACAGTCTGAGATCTGCCATTAGCTGTACCACCACACTGTGGATTACATCAGACCGGGAGGCTACTCAGGAAGGGATCCTAGTTTCCTTTCACCCAGTGGCTATCTTCTTCACAATCTTTTCCTTGTTGATTTTTCTTTCTTACTCTGCTGCTGTTTCTGCCAACTCCCCGTTAGTAGCTTCTTTTTTGTTGTTGTTCCTAGCAGTCACCTGACTTCATTCATTCATGAACCCAACACTGTTACTTCTATACCCACTCTGGGATGGGCTCTGGACTTGCAGTCATGAACAAGACAGGTATGGCTGCCTCTGTATGACCCTTATGGTTTAGCAGGGAAAACTGAAAAGGAAACAAGCCTCCTTATTCAAGACCATGCAAACCAAAAGAGGCAGGCTCCAAGGCATTCAGTATACACACAGAGGGTACCTAACTCATACCTGGCAGTCAGCGAAGACTTCTCAGAGGAAATGGCCATACCAGCCACATACATGATACTGTATGTAGACCCTGAAGACATGCCTTGTGTATTAATGATTAATCCATGGACGAAGTTTATTCTACGCTGTGTTTTCATTTCTTCTAAAGTAATTTCTGCAGTCTACAATTTTTAGTTAAAATAATGCCTTCAGATATTGTCAGGGCATGATTAATTTGTTCTTTTAGTTTCTCACATAAACTGCCTTCAACAGGAAATAATAATTATTGTTCTTTTTTACTAAGGGCTAAGCACATGCTAGGTGTTTTATATACAGCTCTGGGTCTTTTGAAAATCTTGAGAATTGTAGTTATCTCCATTTTAAAGTCTTAGAAACTAAATCTCAGAGATGTTAAGTAGCCTGTTGAATCCCACACCCCTTTCATTAAAGCTGGTACGTTTGAGTTGGTATCCAAGTTTACCTTTTACAGGCTATGTGACCTTGAAAAAGTTCCTTAATCTTAGGGTGCCTCAATTTCCTCACTTGAAAAATGGGGGCAAGGATAATATGTGCCCTGTAGAATAAGCATTACAGAATTCTATCCAACCACAATGGATAATATATAAAAGCAATTCCTCTTGTCCTTTGAAGGTTCTTAGACTAGGCAGGACACAAGACTGTAAGCCCTGAGGGTGCAGTTGGGCAAATGCTATATTCTTGTCCACCAGCCTGTGTGTGTGTTCCCACAAAATCACAAGCCCCAACCAAAAAAGCAGGGATGGGTAATGTCCAACTGAGTCCCTGCTATAGCCTCATACCTGGTGTTAACGCGAAAGAATGAATACACAAATAACTTATGCTGCATGGAGAATTTAATATATCAAGGCCTCAATTTTTTTAAATCAATCAATATTTGGTCAATGATGTCTCACCTGACAGTCCAAGACAGTATATAAAATACTATGAAATATATAACTGCATAATTAACATACAAATGTTATTATTATATATTATATCATGTATATAAACCATAGGAATATATTGTTGCTGACTCAGCAACAGAGACATGAAGGGGCAGGGAGCCGGACTGGAGGGAAAGACAAAAAGGGGGTTAGTGCACACTAGTTGGTTTGTGGCCATTCGGCATCTGATCTGTCATACTCTCTCATTTCTATGAGTTTTTGGAGCTCCTCTTTAAGGGGCTCCCCTATTGTGTGTGGCTTTCAATACCAGACAACATAACACAATCAAAGCCTCTCTCGTCTCACAAAGTTTCAATGGTTGATTTACGCTTTATGCTATGAGCTGGGCATCTCTACTAAGTCCCTTCTCAAATGGTCTAAAATTCAGAGATCACTGAGTCCAACTTCTGAGTCTTAAGAAGAGCTCACATTCTTGTGGACTTTAAAGGAGTTAACACATGTGACAGGGGAATTGTCCGAAGTGACGTCACTAACTCAACTGCATTTCTGGGGACCGAATGGGTCCTAGCTTCAGTACTGCGACCAGGTTGGGCAGAGGAGTCCTAGGCTTAGCCCTCCATGTTGCTATAGCTCCAAGCCCTCCCCTCCTCGCCCCTGAGGGAAGGTGTATCAGCAGCAGGACCTGGGTAGGGTGTAGCTGGATATCCAGCAGAGAACGCCCAGCAGGACAGTCTAGGGGGGAAGGTGGGGCAGCAGGAGCACTTGCCCATTATTTTGGCAAACTTTGGCTTCACCAGAAATGGAACATAACCATAAAAGCCATGGAATTTCTTTGGCTTCACAGGAGACATAAATAAGTAACCCCAAATGTTAAAGCCACGTTCTCAGATAACTATCAGTTATTAACTGAAATACATACACGCACATGTTCTAGTTTGCAATTATATGTAATATATACATGTTCTAACACAAACTATAACTACTTACTGATACATATAGAAGTCTTACCTGTGACTGTGTAGTTCTCTCCGCTGCCTGAATAGATCAGCATTCCGTCCATATACAAGGAGTACTGCGTTATAATACCATTTGCCCTTTTGGGTGGATTCCAGGAGACCAACAAAGAATTGGGAAGGGACTTGGCTACTGGCGGCTGCAGCTCTTGTGGGGCTGTGGGGGGGAAAAAACGATTTACAAAGTCTAATTTTAGTTTACTTTTCTAATTGAAACTTTTCAGACTCAAACCAATAAATCATGGAATAAACCTGAAATCCCAGGCATGAAAATGTTCCTGAGTCGCGGGCAGCTTGTCAGTAATTGCTTTAGGAACAGCACTAAATAACTGTCTGGAATTTATGAGAATTTGCATCAGTGATGGATGGGAAGACCTGACACAGTTCGCTTGACGGACGCGTTCCTTCATCAACAGTGTTATTAACCCCGAATCTCTCCTTGGGGGCTGTGCCGGCGGAAGCAGATTAAACAGAGAGAGTCCCTGCCTTCCATGAGCTTTTGATCTAAGATGGGCAACGCTGGCGAGAACGGTTTGTAAAAGATATGAAAAGCATACATAACAATAGAAATAGCCAGGAAGAAGCAATTTAATTAATTGTTCATGAAAACTACACTGTGTGCAAGTTTTGTGTTGTTTTTTTTTTTTAAGGGGTCTGTTCATTTTCTGGAATGGTCCATTAATTGGAGTCAGAATAACTAACAGCTTTAAAAAGTTCATCCCACCCATACCTATATCACTTGGTACCTTGGCAATAAATTTAAAGACAATCTAGAAATGGGGAATTCCTTCAACACTGGAAAGGAAATGAATGAGAATGGATGAGTAGAAAACTTTCAGGGGTATGGCTATGGGGTAGAATTGAAGGGTACCAGGCAAAACCTGAGCAGAGGATGGAGGGGACATAGCGGAAATCATGGGATGAAAGACGATTTGTCCCGCCCTGAAGCTTGTGAAGGGTGCTGATCATGCGCCCCAGCAGGAGCCATGGCACATTAAGGAAAATAGCTCTTCTCAGTAGATTAGACGAAGAGAACACTGAGCAAACGTGGACAATGGGTCACTGCTGGTGCAGTCAGGTGCAAAGCACAAGGAATAAAGGGTGACAGGGAGGCTCTTACAAACTCCTTTATTCTGTCACCGTGTCACCAATATGGGCATCCTACAACCAGACAGTAAAAGAAACACGCCCTTCCTCTCATGGGGGAGGGAGACGTCGGAAGGAACAAGGCTCCCAGCATCTCGAGAGCTGTTGCCCCTTCGAGTGATGCTTTACGATGCCTGGGCACAGCTTCCCCTTTGGAGTTCTACACTGCGTCCCCCTTCTCACTGCCTTCTCGGCACATGCTTTCTGAAGCATTAATTCATGCCGACAGTGGGTAAGTTCCAACTATGACAAAAGTGAGGCAGAAGTCGGAAGGAGCTGAGCAGTGATTAATAAGGCCTCAACTGGCATTTGGAGGTCCCATCGTATTGAAATAATTGTTGTCCGGGCTGGTGTTTAGCAGTTAAAAGAGACCATGGAAATCAACCGTTTGGTTCTCAATTTCATACTGAGCCATACAATCAATTCTTTTTAGTCAGACTGTCTCTAGATTTACTTCTGAGCCATAGTAAAATGAGGAAGCTTTCATTAATCTTTCAGATGCTCCATATTAATGACAAGGCTCTTGCATGAACAATGTAACAGCAATTAAAAAGCCCATTAATCTGCATTACAGCTATTAAAGATGCATGTCATTAAAGGGTATGGAGTTTGATTCATTTTCGCACCCCCCCCTCCCAAAAATGGAGCAATTATGGCCCGGCAATGCACTTTGTCATCAAATTAGGTTGGGGTTTTCCAGCAAATGGCCTTGCAGCATTTAGTTCTTCTCCTATTTTATTATTCATGACTGAAATGTGGAAGTCAAGACCTTTGAAATTACTTTACCTTCTTGCGGAGTAGAGATGTTCAGTGCCAGTGAGCTCTCAGTACAGCCGGCCAGAGTGCAGGCGGTTAGGGTTACTGCGTAGTTTGTGAAGGGTAGCAAGCCTGTCAACACGCCTGGGACAGAAGGGGGAGAGAAGAAGTATGCATGTTTACCATAATCTGACCGAAAGACTACCATGTATGTGTGGGGGGTAGGGGGGCACCGACAGATAAAAATGAAAAACAAAACACATATGCTTCTTTATTTTCCTGCCTGTGTGTTCATTGCAGAACGGAGTAATTAGTAAGTGAGACCAACTTATTGTTAAGAAAGCTTTAAACAGCACTCGCCAAATGTGTTTTCCAAAATATTGAGATGCTTCCCCTTTGGAACGGTGGCCGGGGCAGGGGCGTGCAGAGGTCAGGAAGCGGAGCCCAGCACATCCGGCGGCTGAGGCACGTGTTGTCCCATTTCAGAACCCCGGACCTCCCGCAGAAACAAAACTCCTTCCTTTTCTCTAACCTAGGAGTTTTCAGTCTCATTTAACGAGGGCCCTTTGTATGCAGCATCTATTAAGACACTTTAGGAAATATGCTCCCAAGACTGGCTTCATTATTTCAACGGTAGGACGCATACATGCAAACTGTTTATGTGGCAGCTAACAAATATGCAAATCCACAGAGTTGAACAATTAGATAATTATGCTTTTGTACTTCTACTTGCAAAAATTATTAATTTAATGAAGACACCTGTCCTCAATAGAAGTATTACTCATGAAAGTGTTGAATTAACCTGACTTGGTGGTAGACGTATAAGAGTTGTTCAGTTAAAAGTACCTGCAGAGCCCTGGCTGGTGTGGCTCAGTGGATTGAGCATCTCTCTGTGAACCAAAGGGTCACCGGTCTGAATCCTAGTCAGGGCACATGCCTGGGTCATGGGCTAGATCCCCAGTAGGAGGCATGCAAGAGGCAACCACACATCTCTTCCCCCAGCCAAAAAAATAAAATAAAATAAAATAAAACCTTTAAAAATGAAAAATAAAAAAGCACCCACAGAAATGACAACACATTTTGTTTACTGGTCTTCACAATCAAGGCAGAAGCTCATTTAGTTAATCCTGGGCATTAAAGATGTATCAAAAACATAATTCCTGCATTGGTCCACCAGTGTTGTTCACTGCAGAAGGTTTCCAGAGCTGTCTTCAATTCTAACCAAGATCTAACAAAGATTATCATCATTCTTATATAAAAATGGCCCCACCCATGGTATCCCTTCATGGAGTAAACCTTCGGTAGCCTGGAGGATGCTATTGTTTTAACATGCCAATGGCGGTGACAGCTTGCATCATTCATAGACACATTTTAACATGCATGCTTCCCTATTCTCCCTTCCCAAGAGGTAATTTTACAAATTAAAAGAGCAAAGACACAGGATGAAGCAAAGACCACAGCCATTGCTTGCTTCGGCACCTCCCAGCTCTCTGCCCCCCTGACCCTGCTGTTGCCATGTCTTCCCTCCCAGAGGCTCCACAAGGACCCTTCTGGGTACCGAATCCTCTCTCTGCTGCCCTCGGCAGCGCGGTCTTAGCTGATGGCCGAGGAAGACAGCAAGCCAATGAACTAATATGCAAGCACGTGTGCCCCTCCCAGGCCGAGTTCAGTGGTCTCTAATTTCACAGCCCCCTCATGCTGTGACCTTCTGCTTTCCCTCATCCCTGCCGCTGAGATCACCACTTCCCCTCCAATCTCCAAGACTCTAACCCACATCCCAAGCCCAGTTTCTTTTCTTTTCCCTCCCACTATGCCTCTTAAATGAAAAATTGCTCCATCACATGTGTACCCTCGCCACAGGGCGGCGAAGAGGTTGAGGAAAACCCGGATGCTCAGGCCAGGCTGGCTGGGTTTCCATGCCAACTCTGCTACCGATTTGTCCCCTGGGTCCAGGCCAGCGGTCCAAACCCCTGTGACTTAGTTTCCTCGCCTGTAAACAGAGAGTATAGTACCTGGCCTGATGGTCTAGGTACTTTACTTCCAAGTGTCGCCATCAAGATGAGTGAGTCCAGGAATATAATGTGCCCAACACAGAGAACTCTGGCGCTGATTCATGTCAGTCCAGGCTGTGTTTGTATTGCAGCCCAGTGTCTGCCTGTCCTGTGCTTCTAAATACTGTAAATGCCAGATCCTGCTACTCTTCCTCAGTCCTCTTCTTCCTCTACTCACCAGACTTTCCCTCCCTCCACGTCCCATTTCCCAAGCTGTTCTTCTAAACTGCTGAGATCTCCTTTCTTTCCCTGACCCGATGGACCTATCTTCCTCTCACAGTCCTTTACATAGCTCCTCTTCTACAAGGTTGGGTCTTCCGACTTCTTCAAACACTTGCCTTTATTAGCTTATCAAGCCTCACCTCTCAATGATCTCATGAGAGCAACAGACTTTTCATCTCTCCCCCAAATTCTGGTTCCACATTTCACCCTGCGGGCCACGTGTCCTACCTGGTGTTTCACAGCAGTTCACCCTTGACACGCAATCCAGATCTGACATCCTAATCTCTTTCATAAGCACTGTCTTTCCATGTCTTAATTCCTCTGTTGTAATCCCAACATTCCAGGCTCCAAAGGAAGGTAAGGGAGAGCCTAGGAACTCTGCCCTTGAAAATCTTTGACATTGGTCAGATCCTTCCTATTGCCAAGTAGAAATGTACAGCAAGGGTTTGAATAAGACAACGTGCATGTCTGCATTGCATAACGCCAACCTAAGAGGAAAGAAATCAGCCCACAGCGAATGAAAGGATCCTACAGAGAGCAAAAAAAGGTGTTGGCATATGAGATTAGTTTCCTTTGTACATCACTTAATCTATGTGGCTCCAGTGAAAAGCATCACTTCTCATATATGGGCACAAACCAGCTGAAACCCAGAAAGATGCGTCCAGACACAGTGGCTGCATACAGGTCAGGGCTCTGATATTTTAATATGATGGTGCATAATATTATCATTGAGAATTGCCACAAAAGCAGTCCATTATTCTGAAATTTTGAGAACTGGCTCCACAAAATACTTTATCCTGAGATCCCTCCCCCCCCTGCCGCCCCACCAAATAACAGCTGAAGTGCACTGTTGGACTTAACAAGAACAGTATCAATGCAGACTTAAGAAGGACCACACCAAACCACACACTGGGTTCTCATTCGCTGAATGGTCTTCGGTGTTTTATTTAAGCTTTTCCTGCCTTTTCTTGCCTTCACTAAAGGAGTTACTGCGTGTGTATGTGCATCATGAATTCCTTTGCTAACTTTTTCACCCTGGAAGGACCTTTAAACATGGGCTATTCTGCTTTCATCAAACTGGCTCCCTTCAGCTTTGTGCTTTGGTGGAGGAGTTTACCAAACTGTATTTTGTAGAAAAGTCCTGAAGTTCTGACAGAAATTTCCTGAGAGGAACTATGGATAGATCATCTTTCAGACCATTTATCAAAGTACTCACATTTTTTATTTCAAGGCAGGTGAAACAATAATACACGCTGAGAAATGAAAGCTGCAAAACAGAGGAATAAAAATAAAGGAAGAAGCTGATGTTTTGGTTCTTTCCAACTTTGAACCCCAGGTGGAAAGTTTTGGGTAGTTTGTAACACACTCTTTCCAAAATGTATACTATTTGCTGAGGCTGAGGAAGTGTTATTTTGTTTTTTGTTTTAATTTCCAGGAGAGATCCTGCTCGTAAAGTGTGTGAGAGCCAAGGTTCCTCAAAGCATTAGAATAAATTTCCCTAAGCACAAGTTTGCTTGATCAGTTTCACTAAGATGGGTAGTGTAATGATCAGGCATTCTCCCTTTTGTCAGGTTACGATGAACAGATGGGTTGAGAGAAGGAGCTAGTCAACTAAACAAATAATCTTCACTCAGAAAAGAGACAAAGTCATCTTATTGTTTAGGACATGTGGATTATCCCTGTGGTTTCCTGGTAATGGGACATTTACAGGGATGGGTTAAAGTTGATGCTCATAAAAGTTCTGCAACTGCCAAAGGAAGAGAGCATGAACACCCTCTCCAAGAGTAAGTAAGGTGGCCCTTCTTGGACAGGTGCCTAGACACCACTGAGCGATCGACCCGCTGGCCTTACGTTGAGTGTCAGAATCATACTTACATTATATACTCTCCAGGAAAAAAAAAAAGGTACTAGTGTGGTAATATGTCATCATCAAAAAGTATTTATCCATTTTTTTTCTATCAGCCTCTGGGAAGGGTGCCTTGGAACATAAGGGATCTCAAGAAGGTTTCTAATCTAAGAAGATATCAGAACTAGAAGAAACATAAGGATAACCACAATACATAGATTAATACATAAAGCAGAATGCCTGCATATATTCACAGAAACAAGGCATTTATAAGATCCAACTCTCCAATCCAAGATGATAGGAGATCGATACTTAAGTAAAGACAAAGAGCCCTGCCTGGTGTGGCTCAGTGGATTGAGTGTCAGCTTGCAAACCAAAGGGTTGCAGATTCGATTCCCAATCAGGGCACATACCTGGGTTGTGGGCCAGGTCCCCAGTAGGGGGCGTGTGAGAGGCAACCACACATTGATGTTTCTCTCCCTCTCTTTCTCCCTCCATCCCCATCTATCTAAAAATAAAAATAAAACCTTTTTTTAAAGACAAAGAGAAAAAGGGAATAACCATTGAAAAGTATATTTTAGTGGGTATCCCAAAAGGCTGAATAACGTATGGTGTGACATATTAATAAAGGAATTCTAGACAGAAAAATATGGCATACGTTCTGCGTGCACAAAAAACTCAATAAGAGAATGTTGGGGTGGTCTCCTTTTGTGGCACTTCAGGTGTTTGCAATAAAGAAGTACATCTTAACAGTGAAAAATTTAAAGACTGGCTTGGACATAAATCTTTTTTGGGGACGCATCAGAGAGGAGACTTTTCCCCTTGAACCTGAGGCCGTCCCTACCTCCAGGCAGGCCCGATGAACTCTCCAATGCCCTTTCAGTCGCCAGAGTCAGTGAAAAGAGAAAACGGCCCCAACCATGTCAGGAAACCTGCCAGTCTCTTTGATAATGGAAGAGGGAGAGCTGAAGAAACATTCAATAAGAAGCATAGAGGAGGCATTATTGATGTTTTAAAAGTGTTAG